TAAAAGAAATTAATATTTCTATTACTCGCCACTCAATTCATCGAGAAGAATTCAAAATTATGTGAACTACGAAGGGAAACCCTTGTTAGTTGGAAATTACAGATTTACTCAGTTGGAACTCAAATTTAAAATGTGGGGATCATGTTATCCATGAAGAACATTAATTCGTCAGAGTCGCTTTGATTTGGGGGCTTCAGGTATTTGCTTTTCAGATGTGTTTTTGTTACTGGCCTGCACAGAACAGACTTCGAATTAATAATAAAAACAGAAAAACCCAAAAAAAAGCCAAAATTTATTTTGTGAAATAAAAAAATTTGTTTTTTGCTACACCTGATTGTGCCGCAATATTATTTGGAAATTCCATTCGAAATTTTCCGTTTCATAAATTATTCTCAAGATGAAGCAGATGAATCGCAAGTTCATACGAAACGTTCTCACCTTGCAGCGGGCCACTCGCCTGATGAATCTCCGCTTTGCGTGTGACGGTGCCGGAGGCGGTGGCGGCAAGGGCCTGGTGGTTGGCATCTACCTGAAGGAGGGCGACAAGGAACCAAAGTTTACGCCGTCCGGCGAGAAGTTCAATGACCGCACCAACGGCAAGCTGAGGCAGCTCGTCTGCGAGACGAAGGTGGATGGTCGGCTGGGGCGTGGCCGTGTGTTCAACAATATTGATAACGACTTTACCTCTGTGGCCGTGGTGGGCGTGGGCCTGGAAGGCGTCGGCTTCAATGAGCTGGAGATGCTGGACGAGGGCATGGAGAATGTGCGCGTGGCCGCCGGCGTCGGTGCACGATCCCTGCAGCATCAGGACTGCACCCTCATCTCTGTGGATGGCATGGACTATGCAGAGCAGGCAGCGGAGGGCGCCACTCTCGGCGTTTATCGGTTCTCCGATAACTTGAACAAGAAGAATCGAATGGTCGTGCCGCGCCTGGACCTGTACGACTCGAGCGACATGGACGGCTGGACGCGTGGCGTATTCAAGGCCGAGTCCCAGAACCTGGCCCGGCGCCTCTCCGACGCGCCGGCCAATTGCATGACGCCCACCATGTTCGCCCAGGCCACCGTGGATGCGCTCTGTCCGTGCGGCATCACCGTCGAGGTGCGCACCATGGACTGGATCGAAATGCAGCGCATGCATGCCTTCCTCATGATTGCCAAGGGCAGCTGCGAGCCCCCCGTGCTACTGGAGATCAGCTACTGTGGCACCTCGCCCGAGGACAAGCCGATCCTGTTTGTCGGCAAAGGCATCACATTCAACTCCGGTGGCATCAATCTGCGACCCTGCACGTATATGGATGAATACCGGGGCAGCATGTCTGCGGCCGCTGCGATCATTGGCATGATGCGTTGCGTTGCTGCACTCTCGCTGCCAATAAACGTCACCTGCGTCATACCCCTGTGCGAGAACATGCCATCGGGCATGTCGGTGAAGCCCGGCGATGTGGTCACCATGCTGAACGCTCGATCGATGGCCATCCGGGACGTGGACAAGGCCGGTGTCGTTGTGATGGCCGATCCCCTAATCTACGGCCAGGTCTCCTATAAGCCGCGCCTCGTCGTCGACGTCGCCACACTTGGCATAGGCGTGAAGAACGCCTACGGCGGCGGTGCGTCCGGCATCTTCTCCAACTCGCATTACGTGTGGAAGCAGTTCCAGCGCGCCGGATCGCTGACTGGCGATCGCTTGTGGCGCATGCCCCTCTGGCAATACTACAAGAAGCAGGTGACCGACGAAACGGGCTACGATCTGAGCAATGATGGCCGCGGTCTGGCCAGCTCCTGCCTGGCAGCCGCCATTCTCCACGAGCTGGTGCCCTGTGCCGATTGGGCCCATATCGACACCCGCGGCACTGGCCTCTTGACCATGTATGGCATCATACCCTATCTGACGGCGCGCTACATGACCGGACGCCCCACGAGAACCCTGGTACAGTTTGTTTATCAGATGGCCTGTCCCGAGGTCAAGTAAAATGTCGATCGTTGTGTTCGTGGTGGTTATGTTCATTTGTTTTGAAGTTGAGAAGTGAAGACTAATAACGTTAATTCTGTATTAAAAAGAGCTCTCATGGCCATAAAAGAAAGACGAAATTTTGTGTGTGATTCTGGCGTCACGGTTCCTGCAGCGCTGCATAATTTGCATTGACTATTCTCTACTCAAGATACTTTGTATTAATCGATTGTGGTTGTCGAATATGCATCTCAAAGATATTACTATAAAGTTATTTAAAAGAAAACACACATTGTAATTGAAGAAAAAAATGCATTAACATTAAATGCTAGCCAGCGCCGTGCCTCAAACACGGCGCGAAGCTTGCTACTTCGAAAAGAAGAGAAAAAGATAAAGGTATTTTCACTCAGTCCAGACGAGAAAAATAAAAGGGAAATACGCGTAATACAGGCGGGTGTTAGCGACTGCAACATACTACTGCTATATCTGTACTAATCGATTTTAGGCTGTCAATTTAAGTATACAAAGTTTGGTATATATATTATAGTATATGCTACTCTAATCTTCAGATAGGTTCTGCCTGGGCATGAATTATGTTAGATTTCAGCATTCTACCTTTAAGGCTTCAGCTGATACAATTTTGATCGATTTGACACGCGCCTAATAGCCGTAGGAACAACCGCCATATCTTGCTGATCTTGGTTGGCAATTTGGGTATTTGTCTCAAGCTTAAAATCTTAAATTTGGGATAGTTTCTAGTTTATATAACAACAAATATTAAAATTTCACATCTCTAGCTATAATAGCAATACCTAGCAACCATACTAGCAGACAGACGTACGAACACTGCACAAAACCAATATACTCATTTCACCTTCGCAAATGAGCATACAAGAAAAAAAGTGAGCACATAAAAATAAGCAATGTCTATAAAGAAAGTAGAAGCCAAACTCAAGCTCCGCTGCTAGCCGAGGCGTGGCTTTGCCTTAAAAATTTGCTAAAAACGTTCGCAAGGAAATCCAAAAGGAGTACGCACTCAGTCCTCAACGCCCCCTCACTGCCCCCAGCATGTCTCTCTGTATCAATTGGGTTCGGTTTGTCGGCGGGGCACAGACAATGCCACAATCTGTAGACTGCAGTCTGCTTGCAGACGCATCGTAATGAAAGACGAAGCCGTTTGCATTGCTTTTGTGGCCGCAGCCAGGTGGCAGACGATGAGGATGGCTGGAGTTTTCGTTTGTGTTTGGGCTAACGACATTGAAAATGCTTGTCGAACTTGAAAATTATTCGATTAAGTGCATTACCGGCGAGACATGGATCGGCAATCAAACTGAATTGCGCACAGTGCCCAGACCCATACGCACAGCACCTTCCGTTCCCGCTTCCACCAGGCACCAGCTCCTGCTCTGGCAGGAGGAGGAGGGGGAGTGAAGCTATGCTGCAGGCGCTTCATTGTTGTGACTGCGACATTGTCGTGTCTGGGGAGTTGGTGTTGTTGTTGTTGGTGCTCGGGAAGTTCGCCTTATTTATGTTGATTGTGTTTTTGCCTATGCCAATCAATGGAGCACACTTTCGGGCGCGTTAAGCCTTTGTGGCGCGCCCCAAGGTATGCTTTAATTTAATGCATTGTCATTGGCAGAAAGGCCGCCAAGTTGAGAAGTTGAGCGCGCAGGCGATAACGGGGGAATTTCTGAAATCGATTTCCATTCCATTCCATTTTCATGTTAATTTTTATGCCTTCTGCATTCCATTAAAATGCACAGCGAGCGAGCGAGTGAGAGTGAGACAGAAAGAGAGAAAGAGAGAGAGAAAGAGAGAGAGAGAGCTTTCAAAATATACTTTGCTGGTGCCTGTGACAGGCTTAAGAGATTACAAGAGTCCTCATAGAGTATATATATTTATTTAAGTGATATGAGCAACACGCATAACGAATAGAGTCTGTGAAATGTAGAATTACGTTAGCCAGGAGTCATTCGAACCTTTTTTTGTGCCTATTGCAAATGGGAAATCAGGTCAGAATGAAATCATAAATAATGAAATGCGTGCTATTGACGGGAAAATGGCGACTTGGATAGGTAAATGTAAGCCAGGCGCAGATCAAATTTGTCACAAAGAAAATTTTAGAGTATATACGGGGATATCTTATTACACAGTGTTTAATAGACTTACTATATAATATAATATTGTTAAAATTATATAAATAAACTTGTATTTAAATATATACACATGAAATAAATATTCGGTCACTATAATAATAATATAAGTATTTATATTAATCCCATTAGACTGTTATCGATCTCAAAATTTAGTCGGACAATGAATTATATGTCGTAATATTATTGCAGATAGAATCTCCGCAATTATCATACAAATTTAACTGTTGCATTTTGAATTATTTAATAATAATTTATTTAGTTTTTAATATTTTTGTGTAATTGAAGTTCAGTGGTGAATATAGTCTACAAGTTAATGAGTTTGCATGTGTTTTTAAATTGATAAATTCATGAGGCGATGTATAGATTATATATGCCAAATTTTATTAAAATCTGAGCAGTAATACAGAAGTTATACAACAAAACCTTAGGGCATTTGTATATTGCAATGGGGATAAGCGCCAAGCGTCTTTCTTATAGGCGTGCACACATACATAAATGCATTCAAATATCGATGTACATTCTATCATATTCATAGAATGACAACAAGAGCGAGTATTGGAGTTATTTTCTAGATAACGCTCTAGCAGTGAAGTAGTTACAGAGCTCATGCTGAGTGGCTGAGAAGTTAATCTCTCAGAAGTGTCAGACTTGGACGTTGCCATATTATTCGATTATTTGCTTTTAAATTTCATTTAATTTTTATAAGGTAATGCTAGATGTATGTAAATATATATATATATATATATATATATATATATATATATATATATATATATATATAAACACCCGATTTAACGGAATAGAGGGCATTTGCTGGTCGGTCAGCTCGTAAGTTTTCAGCTCTGCCATTAATAGCCTAGTATACCCATTACTTAAATCATTCTAGCACTCACCGCTTTGTCGTCTTGGTGGTGCACATAGTGCAGTCCGTTGGCCGTGTGCTCGGCCTCTAGCTGAGCTGGCAGAGATGTGGCCAGGCCAGCCTGCTGGTGAGCATGAGGTGGGTGGTGCACAATGTGCGCGATTGTGGTCACGGGCTGCTCGTCGCGGATGCCTTCGTAGCCGTGCGAGAGGCCGTGGCCGTGGCTGAAGTCGATGAAGGAGCTGGCCGTGTGCAGCTTGCTGGCAGCGGTGCTCGGAGCGAGGGGCAGCTGCTTGACATCATTGTTGCCCGGCTCCACGATGGGCACATACTGCTTGGTCTTGGCCATGCCAATCAGGCGACCTGGCTGAACGCCCAGCGAGCCGTGCTCTGCTGCGGACAGAGCAGGAGCTGGCGCCGCTTGCTGTTGTTGTTGTTGTTGAGTCTGCCCGGGATGGAAGAGTATGGGCGCAGTGCTGTCCTGGGGGCGGGGATCCGGAGTAAGCAGCTGCTTGGGCTGGCGCTGCAGCTTGGCCTGCATCTCCTTGGCCAGCAGGTAGGTGAGGCCGTGGATTTGGTCGTCGGGCGATTTGCCCATCAGTGTGGACAGCTCGCGAAACTCGGCCGACTGCTTGTAGTGCTCCTTAACGCTATCCGCGGGTGCCAGGTACTCGATCTTGATGAGCGGCGACGTGGCGTGGCTTGGCTCAGCCTGAATCTCATAGTTGTACTGCTCAATGGGCCGGCCATAGATGGGGCTGGACTCCAGCTGCAGCGGGTCTGGCTTCGAGGGTCGGAACTGTGGCTCCGCCACGCTGGTGGCCACGTGCTGCAGCTGCGCCTCGGCAGCCGGCTGAGGCACCTCCGCGCTGTATGTGTGATGCACCTGCTCCACCGGCGCTTGCTCCTGCACCACAATGGGCTGTGGTATCGAGGGCGCGGCATAGCTGGGCTTGTAGACGTAGCGCAGCTGCTCCACAACGGGCACGGGCTGTATGTGCACCTGCACCTGAGGCACCTGCGACACCTGAGACACCTGTGGCTCCGCCTGCTTGGCGGTCACATACTTGACGTAGGCCGCTGGCTTGGGCACATACGAGACGGTCTTGGCCTTGTAGTGCTCGTAGTCGATCTTCTGGGGCGTCAGGTACTTGATGTACGCCTTGCCCCCATTGCCGTCCTTGATCAGGTGCGAGATGACCTTCTGCACCTCGTGCGGCAGGGCGCTCAGGGACTTCTTCGTCTTGAGGTGGCTGGCGGGCGCCTCCTTGTAGATGTACATGCGCTTCGACTCGGCTGCCGTCTCCCCCGACAGCACCATGTTATCGTCCACGCGCGTTTGCTGCGTGCTGAGCATCTGCATTTGGCTTTGATTCGCTGGCATCGCTTGGGTCTCCATGGTCAGCAAGCCGGACAGCTGCTTCCCGCTGCGCTGCAGTGCGGCTGGCAGCGATGTCTTTGCATCTGACAGCTCGAACTTGAGCACCTGCAGCGGTGCCGAGCGCTTGGAGCGCTTTGTCTTCCGCGCCTGCTTGCGCTGCGATTTCGCTGCTGGCTTCTCTGCTGCTGCGGCAGCTGGCTGTCGTTGCACATCCAAGGCTCTACCGCGGCTAATTAGCTGAGCGGTAATTGTGTCCGGTTCCCGTGCATCGGAGGCCTCGAAGGGTATCATTTGCACCTTAAAGTTGGCCGGCTGCCGATGCCCGGCCGATCGCCTCGACCGACGGGGCTTACGTGATTTCTTGTTATTAGCTGCGTTGCCTGTGGGCGGCTTAGTCGTGCTACTGGGTGGGGTTGCTGCCTTGAGGGAACGATCCCGATGCTGGCGCACAAGCTCTTTCACCTCCTGGCTGGGTTCCACTGCGTCGCTCAGCTCAAAGCGCAGCATGCGTGGCGCCGTCGGCAGCTGACGCTCCTCGCGCTTAGGGCGGGAGTGCGCCAACGGGGCGGTACTCGCTGGCTGCTCGTTATACTGATTGAAGGCGGCCAGGTAGCTGTCGTCCGTCGGGTTGTCTATGTGTCGCATGCTGCGCAAGTTGCGCTTATCAAAGTAACGCTGCATGTCCTGGCGAAAGGATAAACGCAAATTGATAAGTAAATAGTCACCAAAAGGAATCAGATATTTAGAAAATAGATATGCTAAGCAATTGATAATCTAAGCAATTATTGAGCTTAATATTAATGCAGAAGCTTGCATTAATTGATATTAATTACGATCTCTCATTATGATATCCTTAATATTTAAACTGAATTCATTATATCCAAATATTTTTAAATAACTGAAAACTGAATTCATTATATCCAAATATTTTTAAATAAATTATTAAAATGAAATTATTGATGTTGATTTGAATATTATTATATTAAAAGAAATACACATGAATTTATTTAATTATATTATTTTAAAAAAAGTATCTTATGCATTGCGATCAATTGGATATTGGAGTAGAAAAATTATTATTTAATTTATTAACACAGTTGGCTCAATTATTTTAAATGAAAAATAACTTTATATATAAATACATTTATAAAATAACACAAATATAATATAATATAATATAATATAATATAATATATTATATTATAATATAATATAATGTAATATAATATAATATAAAATAAAATTATACAATAAATAATAAAAATTTGATTTTTCATGCATATATGTAAATAAGCTATTTTACATTACAAATTTACACTACAAATTCCTAAAGTAAATTGGCGTACAATATTTATTTACTTATTTTATTATAGAATAGAATGAATATAAAATTAAAGTTAATTTAAAAATTAAGCAGTAGCAAATAGGCCTATGGCTTATTTAATATAAAAGTGCTGGTATATTAAATATAATGACATATATTTATGGATGGAATTAATAAAGCGCTGTGAACTATCAATTAACCAAGTTAATCAAACATTCCAAAAGCTTTGAAGAGCAACTAATTATCAGTATATAATAAATATGTAAGCCACATTTATTCTATATATTTAGCAGCAATATATATTTTAAATTACGTACATCATTTTATAATTAGCTAATACTTAATTAAATTTGTATTAAATCTTAGCTCCGTCTTACCTCATAGCTGGCAAATGTGTCGAGGGAGGGAAAACGCTGCCAGTTTTCTGTGGGTGCAGCCGAAGATAAGCTCAGGGCGAGCAGCAGCACCTGAAACAGAGAAAAAGAGAGAGAGAGAGAGGGAAAGCGTGGGTGGCGTTATTTACATAGCTAACAAATTGATTAACTGGGAAATGTTGTTGGCACTCAACTTGAGAGTTCAAATAACTGAGCTGTGCCTTCGCACTGGCCGTTTATACATGCTTTATATTTATATATGAGCTGAGCTCATAAATAATAAATCAAATAAGCTGCCCAGCTGCACTGTCCGGCTGTCCGGCTGCTCGGCTGTCTCTTTGGCACTTTCACTTTCGACCATGCCACACAATGCCTGCCACATTTGGACGGAAGCTGCTGCAACAACAGCCAGCCGACAACACTTGATTCTCGGCTGCCTCAAACTCGTTGCGCACGCGCTGGCCGAGTTGAGCGTTTAGCGGTTCATTTGCTCAGCGGGGTGCCCAGGCGCCCAGTTGTCCAATTGCCCCCTCTACCCGCCCGCTCGACCGATCTCTAGCTCCCTGGTCGCGCCAACCTGTCTGGCTATTGGCATGCCCATTCATGTGTCTGGTTCCACTTTCACATCCAGCAGCGCTGAACTTGTGTCGCGGCTCAGCTTGCCTCGGCTTGGCTTGGCTTGACTTGGCTTTTATGGTCATTAAACTTATTCGAGTGCGGATTGTGGATTTTGAGCATGGTCAGCATTGAATTGCATTGCCTAACTCTTGGTTTATGCAAGGCCAATTATAGTATCGCGTCTTTGTCTACCTGCTTATGCAATGTCGGCCAAGCAGCCACTGGGACTTATTAAGCGATATTTAGTGCGAACACTTGGCTGATAATGCAGTAATCTATGTATATAGAAATGGATATCAGGCTCCAAGAGGAGGAGGTTTTTATAAAAACATACTATAATTTGCATTTTTTATAGTGCGATCATAATTAAATTAAGTATTTTATTTTATCATGATCATTTTATTAATTGTTTCTTCTGTCTGATTCGGTTTCATATTAAAAATATCATTTCTCTATATAACACTGGACTAAAACGTAATGCATTTCATATAAAGACTCATTCAAAATGCCAGGAGAAATATAGAAAATTCTGAGATATGTCTAGAAGACTGATATTCCATAATAATGTAATTTAGTATAATTATATGAGACTATAAACTAATTGCAATTTTCATTAATTTTATAAAGACTAAAATTAATTAAATAATTTTTAGATGATATACCCCTATCTGATTCAGTTTGTCATCAAAAATACCATTGCCCTGCACATCAGTTGATTAAAACGTAAAGCGTTTTATTCGCTGACTCACACAGAATGCGACTTTATGAGTATTTTGCGGCGCAGCTTAGCCTCTCCGTATAGTCAATGGCCATTTAACTAAGCTCCGCGATCCAAATCCAAATGAACTGTCAACAGTCGTTAAAAATGCAACCGCGTAAACATTTAACGGCCGTTAAAGTTGCGCCTGAGTGAATTTTTATGAACTTGCCAAGCACAGCCCCTCTACAGCAGGCGTAGCAGGAGTAGCAGAAGTAGCAGGAGTAGCAGTAGCAGCAGTGATCCCTTCCTTTGCCCCGCTCTGCTCTGGCTCATGAATAAGCCTCTAATGCGCCTACCTGGGGCAGCCAACTTGTCCTGGGCTCCACTTGCTGCCGAGCAGTGCACTTGTTATCCTTCTAGCTGCTGTCAGCGGGCCAGCCCTTTGGCCACTCCCCCCCTTTGGACATAAAATTTTATGTGCTTTCTATTTAACACTTTGGCGCTAGCTATAGCTGGGCTAGGGTGTGCTAGCTGGGCTGGTGGGCGTGAAATGGATATTCGTTTCGCCTTTGGAGCACGCGCGAACAACTTTAAAATTCAATGGAAAACTACAATAAAAAAAAAAAATACTGTTGCTATTCTCTCTCTTTTTTGTGTGTGCTTTTGTTGTTGTTGTTTTGGCCAAGTAATTGTTGTTTCACTTCGCAGCTTTTATGACTGTAAAAACTAGTTAAACATTTTTATGACCCCCAGGAGCGACAACAAAAGATTGTCAACAGTTCTGCTTAAATATCCCGTCGCAGTTGAGCGTAGCTATGAAAAAACTTAATTTTATTCAAATGTTACCATCTTGTTTCAATAACAAGAAATCTTAGATATATTAGCTGATTTTTAAGAATTTTTGTCAATTAAATTGGAGACAATTTGAATGTTTACTATTTAAATTTAATAAATTTAGTAGAGACTAAATTTGTTGTAGTTGAATTTGAATGCAGCCCACTCTTGTTTTAGTTTTCGTTTTTTGCCTATTGCAATTTCTTAACTTGTTTTTCTTTTTAATAAAACAACTCGAAACGCGTGCAGGCGTTTTCATTAACTTGTTGTTGCAATTGTTTTTGTTGGCTTAATTTCACTTGCAAATTGTTTGCTGTTTTTACTGCTGCTGCTGCGGCCAACAAGGCGGAAAAACGTTGCAAGACAGTTAAAGAAATTGGGCCAGGCAAAAGGCAAAACTTGGCTAATTGTGGCTGGCTGTTCGAGTGGGAAGAAGGGCATGGGCCCTGCTACAGTAGCTAGTCCAGCGTTCGCCAATGCCTCTCTGGGCACTCTGAACCAGTTTTCCATTGCGCTCTTTTTTCACTCCCATGGCATGTTTGCATAGGAGCTCGTAACGAAAAACCAAAGTCAAGTTCAATGCACATAAAAGGCCGTTGGAGATGGAGGTGCTGCGGGGGCAATTGTATTTGTCCTGCCTAGTGCTGAAAGTCGGGCCACAAGGAAATGCGCAGCGAGAAAATGCACAAAAGAAATGTGAAAATTGCCGCAAAGTTTCCATCCATTTAAATTGCAAATTTCCAGTTTCGATTGCAATTGGCAAAATGTTTTTTATTTTTGCGCTTGTTTTTGCCAGGGAAGTGGGTGTGCGACTCGGATTCGGACCGTCTGTGGTTAGATAACCGTAAACATTTTTATGAACGGCGGCCGAGGTCGTAAAAGCAAATGCCACAGGAGCGGGGCGACTCGACTCGACTCGACTGGGCGCGTGTGAATGGAACGAAATGGAAAGCATTTCGACTATTTGTTTTATGATTTTGCAGCCCGTAATTAAATGGCTGTGGCCCAGCCAGTGGCTAAGCTAGCATGGCAAAAACCTGCAGAAATATGGCCAATTGTTTTTCCGGCTAATTGCAGTTCAAGTGGCTCAGCGAAAGAAGCAAAAACAAAATACATTCATGTATATTTATAAATTATACAGAGTGGCCAGACGTATGGAACAGCAGCTTCCGCTGCTTCAATCGGCAGTCGTGGAAAACTGTAGCGCTGAGGCGGAAAAGCGCATCATCTGCAGTTTTTCATTTTCTGCATTTTCCGCCCACACCTGACATTGGGCCATTGAGGCGTTTAATGGAAAAAAAAGAAAAGAAATCATTGGACAGTTGATTTTTCGGACGCCGTGTCCTTTTCATGCTTCAACTGCCACGCCCCCGACCCCGCTCCACTCGCTCATCTGGCATCTGGCATTCATGCATGCGCATACAATATTACAGTATCTACGGCTGACCTCTTCGCACTTACCAGGCAGACGAGAGCCATTCTCCTTGCGGGCGTCGCACTGTCGTCGGAAGTGTGACAAATGAGGCGTCGGGCTGGCAGCTTGTGGCAACTTAATTTGCAACGTTGCTCAGCCTCGCGTTAAGCCGCTTCTCACTGACTCACGGTTAATGTAAATTTTAATAAGCCCTTAAAGCAGGTGTCGGCCACTCAGATCACTCAGTCAGTCAGCCACTCGGCTCGAGCAAATAGACAATTTATATTCGATTTGTATGCAAAGTGCGCTAGAGTTGCGTGAATTGTTTTTATTTAAGAATATATATGTATATCTCAGTGTACACTTTTAGCACTTTACTTTAATTGTAGTTTGATTCGATTCGCTGGTGTATTAAGTAAATATTGCGTTTATGTTTTATTCTTGTCTTTGCTGCACAATCTTTGTCCTTGGGTTTTCCGTCTGGCGTCTGGCGTCACTTCACCAAATTTATTATGAAATTTTTGCAAAATAATTCCTGTACATTCGCTTTGGCCGGCATTCGGGGTAAAAAAACACAAAAGTTTGTCTATTTAATTTAACTTTAGCTTGGCGCTTTGTTTAAACTTGGTCCGTACCAAGTCGACTCCGGCGTCGTTCGTTTCTCATTTATTTAATGCGACTTTTAATTTGAGTTGAGTTTTCTTTTGTTTACTTGCGACGCTAGAGGAAAACCGCACGCTTGCGCGCTGCTGCAGCAACTGTGCCTCGAATTTTCGCGCCACTTCAGTTTTGTGTGTGTTTGCTGGCTCGCAATTTTCACAAAGATCCCCCAGCCAGTTTTCCAAATGCCGTCGTCGTCGTCGTCGTCGTCGTCGTCATCGTCACTGTTGCAGTTGTCGTTGCAGCAGCAGTTGTTGTTGCAGTTGATGTAGCTAGTGTGTGGCTCTTGCATTTTTCATTAATTTTTCTTTCCATTTCTTTCTTTTTTTAGGAGTTTAAGAAGAGGGCATAATTAAATGGTGATGAGATTTGGCATTCAAACAAGCATTTCCGAATTTATAATACAAAAATTATCATTTTGATGCATATGTATAGAGCTTTCCGCCTGAAAATATATGCAATGAACAGCTGCCTAATCTAACATGAAATTTATGATTAATTCAAATTGCTAATCCTTTTATATGATATCAGTTTTAATGAAGGAGCGAAACAGTGTTGTATAATGATAATTTATTAATTAATTTTGGCATAGTATTGAGATAAGGCTGCGAAACTAAGTGTGAATTGAATATTAAATTAATATCTGAAAAATATCACAGCGCTTTTATGTTAATTTAAATGTGTTTATAAATACATAAATAATATCATGAGAAATAACTTTTAGATCTTATATGGCCGTAAGGAGAAAAAATGATTTATAATTTTTTATTTACGCAGATTCTAATATTGTTCAATTTCTAGTTCACATAGTTCAGATACATTTCTTAAATTTCTAATTACAGCTTTAAGAGACAATATATTAAATTTGTAGTATAGTTAAGAGAAATGTAAATAAGCATTATGAAATAATTTCTGCTTTTGACTCATGTTTTCGTTTTATTATTAAAAATTACCTTTGCGATGGGATGTGCAATTAAAAAATAATTCAGGCTGAAGGCCAGTCTTAATTTGGTTTTTTTAAGTTAGCCATAATTGCATATTAATTATAATCAATAATAAATAAAAAAATAAATAAATATAGGATTTGCCTTTTGTTGTTAACCAATACTGTATATAAAATATTTTTTTTAATCGACTCAGCTGGCATCTATTGGTTGTAGATATATACAAATATATACACAGTTTCTCATTTTCATTTTATGTTTTTTAAATTTAATAAATGAAATATTTAAATGCATTTTAATAAAAAATATGATATAATTGTTTATCATTTCAGTTAAAAGTATATATATTTATATAATTGTGAATTCTGATATTATTTACTATGAGAAGTGCATGAAACTTATTCAATTTTCTGCTTTAAAGTAATAAAGCTCATCACGTTGATTGCATATATGTATATGGATAGAACTATAGGAAATCCTCTGAAATAACCCTTATTAAATTAAATTATTTGCAATCTTTCTTATGCTAAAAATGAAGCAAATGTATTAACAATAACATGGATTGCAGAGCATTCACACTTCGGTTAGCTGTCGTCTCTCAGCACTTGTTTATTGCCTGCATTTTTATTGGTCTGCTCGTTGGTATTTGTCTTTGGCCGTTGGCTGCAACTGCGAGACGCATTTTTGGCCATGGCTTTGGCCAAGTGCCTGCTAACTTTTGACCATAAACTTTGCGTTGTGCGAGTAGTTGTTAATGTTGTCGCTGTAGCTGCTGCTGCTGCTGAGACTGAGCCTGAGACTCAGACAGCCGGTTGATGTTGGTTGTTGCAAAAAATAAATATAAAGATATTTACGTGTTTTTTTACGTCGAGCTTTAATGCGTTGCGGGCAAGCTTAGTTGCATAATTAATTGACTAATTGCAACAAGCTGATTATGTTTGCACGATCCACGCATTTCCTAGGCTGCACCGCAACACCCTTTGCATCTCTGATTATGTGATTTATAGGAAGAATTTCACTCGATGCTGGCTAGGCCAGGCAATTGGCAAAACAATTGGCAGAGGCGCGCGTGCCATGTGAAAGTTCAATGGTTATGCAACAGGCAGCCGCAGAGGCACGTTGCAAGCCGTTGCAGTCGCAGTCGCCGTCGCCGTCGCAGTCACGCACGCGCCGCGGCTGATGAAGTAGCTGACAGATTAGTTTTATTGGAGGCAGCCGCTGCGAGATTGCTTTTTGGGTTTGACTTGAGTTATCGTTGTGTTGCATCTGCGGCGACTGCGACGATTAGTCGAACTTTTGGCGCCGAAATAAAGTCACCCTGGGAGCGATAGAGAGGGGCGCAGTGCGAGGGAGTGGGCGAGAGTGAGTGTTGGATACTTTCACATGACTATTGTGATCTGGCTAGGGGGCAGGGGCTGCCGGTGAATACGGTTGCATTCGAAATTGAATTATTATCGTAGGAATTATGAGTGGAGACAGTGGTGTAGCTAACAATGGGAAAACAGGAGTCTCATAAGCAAAGGAAAAGCGTATATCATTATATAGAGAGAGATATGCAGATAGAAAAATATAATATACATAAATTGATATAATCATCAGTAAGCTTATTTAATTTTACATTTATCAAACATATAATAGCGAAAAGATATCTATATTACTTTACATTTTATATTTCATATTTTATTTTATATTTTATATTTTATATTTTATATTTTATATTTTATATTTTA